ACGAGCAAAAACTAGAAATAATCCATGATCTCTGCGTTACTGGACTTCTGCCTGCCTTGTCGGACTGCATTTGGACCTATCCTTGTATTGCTGAAACTTTGCCTGATTTATCGGAATGCTTGCAGTCTAATCTTTGTTTTGTGTGAGTAAAGTCTGAATTGGCAGCTAGCCACTGGGTTGCTGCCAGCTGTATCTTCAAAGACTTTGTCGTGTGGCTTATTAACTCCGGGCCGTCTGTGGGGGTGCGTGTGTGGGGCGGGGACAGAACAGAGGCGTGCGCGCATGCACAGCAGAGCTGAACTGGTGTGATGGCTCACGTGCCATCAGAGAGGGCGCTGCGTGCCACCTCTGGCACCCATGCCATAGGTTCGCCATCATGGCACTAGTTAATTGTTCTGTCAGGAAATTTCTCCCTAGTTCTAGGTTGCTTCTCTCCTTGATTAGTTTCCACCCATTGCTTCTTGTCCTGCCTTCAGGTGCTTTGGAGAATAGCTTGACTCCCCTTGTCTTTGTAGCAGCCCCTCAGATATTGCAAGACTGCTATCATGTCACGCCTTGTCCTTCTTTCCACTCGACTAGACTAAGTGAACATAGGTGTCTCGTGGTTTTGCACACTTGACCAGCCGCCCCGAGTTGCTCACCTGCTTGGTTCCGCGGAAAGAATAGACGTGATACAGAACAGGAATGACGGACGTCTTGGGGAGCGAAGGCAGCAGGCTGTTGTCCAGCTTGAGAGTTTGGACCATCAGTTCTATCAGCTGAAAACCCAGCTGAATCAACAGGCTTGGGGGCCAGATGACTTGCTTGGATATCAAGGAAGGGCTATAACCCGCCTCTGCTCTCAGCTTCTCCCAATATTCCCGTGGCAAATAATGATTCACCTGCAGAGGCAAGGAACAGGGTGAAGTTTACATTCCGGAGGCCGATCGCACTTACAATAGCACTTAAGACTTACGTACCGCTTCACAGTGCTTTACGGCTCTCTTTTAAGCAGTTTACAAATGGCAGCGTCTTATTTATTTATTTATTTAATTTAATTTAATTTAATTTGTATACCGCCCTACTCCCGAAGGACTCAGGGCGGTGAACAGGCACAGGATAAAACACATAGAATACAAAAATTTAAGAGCAGAAGTAAAATCGAATTAAATCAATTTAGCCCAAGACAAATTTAAAACCCCAGGTTAAGAACAAATTAAAATTTACATTAAAAAAAGAATGGGAAAGGTTAGGCCAAACCAGCCTGGTGAAATAAAAAGGTCTTGAGAGCGCGGCGGAAGGTGCGTAGATCCGGGATCCTCCGTATCTCCGGGGGGAGCTCGTTCCAGATAGTAAGTGCCCCCCACAGAGAAGGCTCTCCCCCTGGGGGCCGCCAGTCTTGCCTCCAACAATCTGGCTGCTCATTTTACCTATCTCGGAACGATGGAAGGTTGAGTCAACCGGTGAGAATCGAACTCCGGGCTGTGGGCAGAGTCAGCCTGCAATAGTGCATTCTAACCACTGCGCCCACCGCGGCTCTCTCTACCTGAACCTGTTTGGATTCACCCGCTGCACTGCTCACTGCTGGAGATGGTTGGCGGGATAAGAAGCCTTCACCCTTGGTGTCGTCTGTCTCCTTGGTCTTAGCTCTTATGCAATGTAAGAGCCGCGGTAGCACAGTGGTTAGAATGCAGTACTGCAGGCTGCTACTGCTGACTGCCGGCCGCCTGCAAGTTGGCAGATCGAATCTCACCAAGCTCAAGGTTGGCGCAGCCTTCCGTTCTTCTGAAGTCAGTAAAATGAGAACCCAGATTGTTGGGGGCAGCAGGCTGACTCTGTAAACCGCTTAGAGAAGGGCTGTAAAGTGGTATATAAGTCTAAGTGCTATGGCTATGGAGAGTCCCTGTGGATTTTACCTTGCTAGTCGTGGCTGACTCTAGGGAACGGTGCTCTTCTCTGTTAAGGCCATTGAGCCAGCGCGGTCTGAAGACATTTCCACAGTCATGTGGCCAGCGTGACGTCACAGAGCGCTGTGACCTTCCCCACCGAAGTGGTACCTATTTATCTACTCGCATTTGCATGCTTTCAAACTGCTAGGTCGGCACTTTAATCAACTGGAATTGTTTGGTTAACACCTTAACCTCTACAACAACCTAAAATACCCGTTTAATTTTTTGTGGGTTTGTAAATATGAATGTTGTATTTAACATTACAGGTAGTCCTCAACTTACAACACTTCTTTTAAGAGCTGCGGTGGCGCAGTGGTTAGAATGCAGTGCTGCAGGCTACTTCTGCTGACTGCTGGCTGCCTGCAATTTGACAGTTCAAATCTCACCAGGCTCAAGGCTGACTACGCCTTCCATCCTTCCAAAGTCGGTAAAATGAGGACCCAGATTGTTGGAAGGGCAAGAGACTGACTCTGTAAACCGCTTAGAGAGGGCTGGAAAGCACTATGAAGCAGTATATAAGTCTAAGTGCTATTGCTATTTAGTGATGGCTCAAAGTTAGAACAGCACTGAAAAAGTGACCTATGATCATTCCCATGATCATGGGATCAAAATTCAGATGCTTGGCTCATACTTATGACTGTTGCTTTGTCCCACGGTCATTGGATCACCTTTTGCGACTTTCTGGACAAGCAAAGTCAATGGGAAAAAAGTGACTCACTTAACAACTGTGTTAAGTGTGTTACTAATTTATAATCAGCAGGGATTCACTTAACAACGTTGGCAAGAAAGGTCGTAAAATGGGGCAAAACTCACTTAACAACATAAATTTTGGGCTCAATTGCGGTTGTAAGTCAAGGACTATCTGTAAATAGTTTTAATTTACATTATATTGCCAATTTTCTAATCACTAGTGCTTCTCGTTCAGTTTTCAGGATACTTAAAAAAAAAAACTAACAGGTTCCATGAGTTGAAAAAAATTGAAAACATCTCCTCTAAATCAATCTTAGAAAGGAACTCTGAAAATTCTACCAGGTTTCCCCGAAAATAAGACCCTGTCTTATATTTTTTTGAACCCCGAAATAAACGCTTGGCTTTATTTTTGGGGCGGTCTTATTATTTTGGGGCGTGTGGAGCAAATGGGGCTCCTCTTGCCATCTTACCTGATTTCCAGTTCTGCAGTTAAATATTTTTGGGGAGGGCTTATTTTCTGGGGGGGGGTTATTTTAGTGCATGCGCTCAAAAGCCCAATTGGGCTTATTATCAGGGGTTGTCTTATTTTCGGGAAAACATAGTAGTTTTGGCTCAAAATAGCCCTGAGCTGTTGGAACCCAAAAAAATCCTCTCAGGAAAGTGGTCAATCCAGAAACTAGAGATGCTTTAGTTAAAGGTGTCACCTAAGGCAACTGAAGTTGGCTACCTGATTATCACTGGCCAAAAGTTTGACGTAGCTATCATAGGTCTTCTCAAAATTGTCCTCCGAAATGGTACAGCTTTTTCTAAGAATGGTGTATTTATTGTAGATTCTGGTACCCAGATCCTTCGCTAAGATGCTGACACATTCCCCAAGGGCTGGCAGGCTGAAAACCGTCTGTAAAGAAGGCAAGATAAAACAAAGACAACTTAAGAGACTCAAGATGCAGACCTGTAGCAATTTTAAGTTTAATTTAAAAAAGGTAAGAGGCATCGTTCTACGTTTGCTTCAGTTTTACTTTATTACTTAGTGTTTTTATTATTTAGCAATAGCAATAGAAATAGCATGTCGACTTATATACCATATATAATTATATATAATGAATATACTTATATATTCATGCTGCTTTTACAGCCCTCTCTAAGTGGTTTACAGAGTCAGCCTATTGTCCCCCCAACAATCTGGGTCCTCATTTTACCCACCTCGGAAGGATGGAAGGCTGAGTCAATCTTGAGTTTGTCAGGATCAAACTCCTGGCAGTGGGCAGAGTGACCCTGCAATACTGCATTCTCACCACTGTGCCACCACGGGCCTTCCTTCCTTCCTTCCCTTCCTCCACCCTATCTACTTAGCACTTATATACCGCTTTACAGTGCTTTTACAGCCTTCTCTAAGTGGTTTAGAGAGTCAGCATATTGCTCCCAACAATCTGGGTCTCCATTTTACCAATCTCGGAAGGATGGAAGGCTCAGTCAACCTTGAGCCTGGTGAGATTTGGACTGCCAAATGGCAATTAGAGGTCAGCTGAAGTAGCCTGCAGTATTGCACTCTAACCACTGCACCACCTCGGCTCTGTGCCACCTCGGCAATAGCAGGGGCAACTAATACAATTTATTCAAGAACACTCCCACCGACACTCAGAAGCAACAAGCCGCTATATACAGGAAAGTCCTCAACATAAGACCACAACTGAGCCCAAAATTTATATTGTTAGGTGAGAGAAATTTGTTAAGGGAGTTTTGCCCCATTTTACAACTTTTCTTGCCACTTTTGTTATGTGAAATCACTTAACAAAATTATGAACTCGGTTGTCAAAGTGAATCTAGTTGTCCTGGTGACTTTGCTTGTCAGAAGCTTGCAAAAGGGGATCCCATGAACTTGGGATACTGCAAATGTCATCAATATGAGTCAGTTGGCAAGCATCCGAATTTTATTCCCATGACTGTGCGGATGCTGCAATGGTCACAAGTGTGAAAATGGTCATAAGAATAAGTCACTTTTTTCAGTGCTGTTGTAACTTCGAATGGTCACTAAATGAATATTCGTAAGTCGAGGACTACCTGTATAAACAAAGAGCAAACCTCACTCCTTCTAGCACTGACAATGTTACCTAGTTGGGTCATGGAACGTCTGCAAGAAAACAACCAAGCTCAGAAAGCACCAATGACCGCACAGTCCTCCTCCTGCTCCTCTCTGCAAACCCCTCTCCCTTCTAGCACTGATGATGTTACCTAGTTGGGTCATGAAATGTCTGCAAGAAAACAACCAAGCTCAGAGAGCACCAAGGACACCACGTTTCAGCCCTGAGTTACTGTTGTGGCCCGCCAACGGCCTGCGCGGATCGTGGCTGATCCTGACGAGGAGGTTGGTGTGGGGTCGCGCCAGCAGCCTGCGCAGCCGGCGCTCGCGTCGGACAGCGAGGAGGCTGAAGAGGATGTGGTGCCAGAAGCAGAGACTCAGCCAGGACCTTCAGAACCTCCAGAGGCTATTTCCAGTGGAAAGAGCGAAGTGGAGGAGCCTCTCCTCAATGCTCGAGCACGCAGGGTTGCCAAAAGGCAGGAGTGGCTACTCAGGAGGAGGAGATCTCCTTGAGAGTAAGATTTGAGGATAATTGGCCACTCCCTTAGCCTATTTAAGTCGCACGCAGTTAGTAATTTCTTGCTGGAAACAACGTGTAATTATTACAGAGCATTTTGGAGAGTGAGTGTCTTATTGTATCTTGTTTTCTGGGCTGGTTGCCAACCTTTGCCGGACTTTGTTTGTTCTTGGTACGTTATAACTTTGATAAGGACCGTTGGTGTATGTCACAATCCTTGGGAATCCGGAGCTGGGGCAGAACAGTTACAAATGTTCTCTTTCTACCAGTATAACACAACTTACCTGCATCATAAGATCTACATATTCCTTTTCGGTCAGCACACAAAGAAACGGATAGACATCTAGTTTGGACGTACGCCAAATGTTCTCTTGCTTCTTGAGCTTCGACAAGTTGTGAAGCAAAGTTGCCTCCCATTGAGAACGAATCTTGCTCAAAATTTCCCTCTGTGGAAACGGATGAGAATAGAAAAGATTATTAACTGTACAGGAAGTCTTTGATTTATGACTACAACAGAATCTCGCTTGCTAAGTGATGCAGTCATTAAGTGAGTCATACCTGATTTTCTTATGGTTAGTAAGTGGGCAGCAGCGGGGTAATGGGGGTGGGGGGGAGCGGCAGTGGCCCTTCACAACGGTCCCAGTTTCTCAGGTAGCCCCTTCGGAAAATTAATGGCCCACTCCTGGATAAAGGCCACCCTGTAGCTGTTACTTGTTTTCAATAACTGACGATCTGCTACTAAAACCTGACTTCAACTCGGAGAATTGCCCAACCATCATGTCAAGGCACTGCCTTGGAAACATAACAGAATACCAGAGTTGGAAGGGACTATGGAGGTCTTCTAGTCCAACCCCCTGCTCTGGCAAGAGACTCTCCACCATTTCAGACAAATTGTCCAAATTCTCCTTGAAAACCTCCTTGAAAAGTTGTTGGGTGGAACCCACAACTTCTGGAGGCAAATTGTTCCACTGATTTATTTTTTCTTTTCACTGTCAGGAAATTCCTCCTTAATTCTAGGTTGCTTCTCTTCTTGATTGGTTTCCATCTGTTGCTTCTTGTCCTGCCTTCAGGTGCTTTGGATAATAGGCTGACCCTCCCTCTTCTTTGTGGCAGCCCCTTAAATATTGGAGGGGCTGCTAACATGTCACCCCTGGTCCTTCTTTCCACTAGACTAGATTAAGTGAGCACAGGGTTTTGCACACTTGACTACACATAGTAATAGCACTTACATACCGCTTCACAGTGCTTTTACAAGCCCTCTCTAAGCAGTTTACAGAGTCAGCTTATTGCCCCTGACAATCTGGGTCCTCATTTTACCCACCTAGGAAGGATGGAAGGCTGAGTCAACCTTGAGCCTGGTGAGATTCGAACTGCTGGCAGTCAGCAGAATTAGCCTGCAATACTGCATTCTCACCACTGCGCCCCCATGGCTAATATCCAATTCCTGCAACCATCCTTGATGGACAAATAGTTTTCAATTTACGACTGGTCGCTTAGCGATTGTTTGAAGTTCCAATGGACCTACCTGAGGGGTACTTACAACCCAGATTTGAAATGCTGACGGTCAGAGCGTCCAGTGGGCATGTGACACACTTCGGGCGCTTGGCAACCGGGCCACATTTACGGCTGTTTGCCGTTGTCAGGATCCCACAGATACCTGACTGTATTTTACAAACGGGTTTGCCAAAAACCGGCATCCGCATTCAGTTTTTGGCAAAACTATGCCCATAGTGAAGCACTTGTTTGCTTAACGGCTGCCACAAAAAAAAGGTCATAATATGTCACACGTTACAACCATGATGGGCAGGTTCCATTATGGTTGTAACTTGAGGACTTCCTGTATTTATCCCTTCCCTTTTTATTCTGGCCGGAAATGCAACTTTCTCCTCAGGAATTAACTTTACCGCTTTGATAGTTGTAGCTGTGATAGGTTTAGTGGCTTCCACTGACTCAACCGTGACCCTGTCGGACGTCTCCGAGTTGTATTGTTTTCGGAACCGTTGCTGCAGCTCTTCTGCTGTGAAATTGAGCTTGCTGTAAGAAACGGACTTCTTCTGAGGGGAAAGTAAAGAGGAAGAAATCCGTGATGATGTCTCAGGGATACCTGTAGTCCTTAAACTTTAGACTCAGAACTTAGAATAACTTTGTCATTTTAAATGTACACTAATCAGCATACATTAAAATAAAATTTCATCGCATACAGTTCTGAAAAGGTCACCACTTCCAACATACACTACCTAAACATGACAAATATATATGTATATACATATTTGTTTTTCTTTCTTTTTCATAGGTTTTATGTGTATTTCTCTTTAGCCAGGTTCTACCTTCGTAAACCAAGATATTATGCAGTCTTAGTTCAGTGAAATCACAATTCACTAGTTTCTGGGCTTTTTTTCTTCTGGCAGCCAGCAAACACTCTGCTGCCCATTGGGAGACTAAGATAGATGGGCAGCAAAGGGTCTGCTGGCTGCCAGAAGAAAAAAAGCCCAGAAACTAGTGAATTGTGATTTCACTGAACTAGGGCTGCATAATATCTTGGTTTACGTAGATAGAACCTGGCTAAAGAGAAATACATATATACATATATACATATACATATACACACACACACACACACACACACACATATATATATACCGTGTTTCCCCGAAAATAAGACCCTGTCTTATATTTTTTTGAACCCTGAGATAAGCGCTTGGCCTTACTGCCACACGCTCAAAAGCCCAATTGGGCTTATTATCAGGGGATGTCTTATTTTGGGGGAAACAGGGTATATATATAAATATTATACATATATTCACATATATTATATGACAAAGAGAAACAACACAGTGTAGTTTGGATGTGTATACATATATACATACACATGGCGAGAAAAATGAATCTTGTGAGTTTACCAGACGGATGGCATAGGAAACAAAGCTGTTACAGAATCTGGTAACCCTGCTAGAAATATTTTGAAACCTCCTCCCACAGGGGAGCAACAGAAACATACCGTAAAGTGGGTGGTGGCAGGGTGGATTTGATTTAAATCGAGTTGATTTAAATCACAATTTAAATCATGATTTAAATCGCTAGTAAAAAGGCTTGATTTAAATCAACTCGCTTTAAATCATAATTTTTAAAGAGCAACTGTCATCTCTGCTACTCCTTTGACCCACTGTTGACTCACCGATAGTCCCAGTGTTGCAGAATATACAGCCTCATGCTACATAACTAAGCTTCATTTCATGCTGAATAAACTAAATTATTTATGTATCTTAAATAGAAAACTATCTTACGATAGATTTTTACCCCAAAAGTTTTTTATTAAAATAAATTCAATAAAAATCAAAAAAATCCAATTTAAATTTAAAAAATCCGATTTTTTTTATTTTTTAAAAAAAATTATTGATTTTTATCCACCCTGGGTGGTGGGTTCCATTCCATTCCATTCCATACCATATCATACTATATTATACTGGATGAATTCAACTCCCAGAATTCCCCAACCAGAGCAGGCGGTTCAGGAATTCTGGGAGTTGAAGTCCACAGGCTGTAAAGTTGCCATAGTTCCCAACCCCTGGCTAGGTTATTTGAAATGTGTTTCGCTCAGGCGTGAGGAAGAGATGACGGTCATGTGGTGGAGATGAGCCAGAAAAAACACACCAGGGCACTTGGGGTTATGCATGAGTTTGACAGAGGAAAGGCTCAGAATTAAAGGCAAAAAATAAAATAAAATAAAAATGCCTCAGCTGAAGGTAGGCAAATCCTGCTTGTTTATTTTATTTTTTTTAAGAAAAATATGCCCTCAAGTCAAGTTTAATTCCTGGCCAATAACACCCCACTGCAAGGCAACATGTAGAGAAGGAGATTTTACTCCTAATTGAAGATGGGATACAACGCAAAGACACAAATGGTATACCGTGTTTCCCCGAAAATAAGACCCTGTCTTATATTTTTTTGATCCCTGAAATAAGTGCTTGGCCTTGTTGCCATGTGCTCAAAAGCCCGATTGGGCTTATTATCAGGGGATGTCTTATTTTGGGGGAAACAGGGTAGTATGGGATGTAGTGGGGTGGAATAAAATGTGGAGTGGAGTGGAGTGGAGTGGAGTGGAGTGGGGTGGGACGAGATGAAATAGAATAGAATAGAATAGAATAGAATAGAATAGAATAGAATTTAAAAAATCCGATTTTTTTTTTATTTTTAAAAAAAAATTATTGATTTTTATCCACCCTGGGTGGTGGGTTCCATTCCATTCCATTCCATACCATATCATACTATATTATACTGGATGAATTCAACTCCCAGAATTCCCCAACCAGAGCAGGCGGTTCAGGAATTCTGGGAGTTGAAGTCCACAGGCTGTAAAGTTGCCATAGTTCCCAACCCCTGGCTAGGTTATTTGAAATGTGTTTCGCTCAGGCGTGAGGAAGAGATGACGGTCATGTGGTGGAGATGAGCCAGAAAAAACACACCAGGGCACTTGGGGTTATGCATGAGTTTGACAGAGGAAAGGCTCAGAATTAAAGGCAAAAAATAAAATAAAATAAAAATGCCTCAGCTGAAGGTAGGCAAATCCTGCTTGTTTATTTTATTTTTTTTAAGAAAAATATGCCCTCAAGTCAAGTTTAATTCCTGGCCAATAACACCCCACTGCAAGGCAACATGTAGAGAAGGAGATTTTACTCCTAATTGAAGATGGGATACAACGCAAAGACACAAATGGTATACCGTGTTTCCCCGAAAATAAGACCCTGTCTTATATTTTTTTGATCCCTGAAATAAGTGCTTGGCCTTGTTGCCATGTGCTCAAAAGCCCGATTGGGCTTATTATCAGGGGATGTCTTATTTTGGGGGAAACAGGGTAGTATGGGATGTAGTGGGGTGGAATAAAATGTGGAGTGGAGTGGAGTGGAGTGGAGTGGAGTGGGGTGGGACGAGATGAAATAGAATAGAATAGAATAGAATAGAATAGAATAGAATAGAATAGAATAGAATAGAATAGAATAGAATAGAATAGAATAGAATAGAATAGAATATTGGAATGAAGAATAGAATGGAGTGGATTGGGGTGGGGTGGGGTGGGATGGGATGGGATGGGATTGAATAGCATAGCATAGCATAGCATAGCATAGCATAGCATAGCATAGCATAGCATAGCATAGCATAGCATAGCATAGCATAGAATATTAGAATGAAGAATAGAATGAAGTGGGATGGGATGGGATGGAATAGTATAGAATAGAATAGAACAGAATAGAATATTGGAATGAAGAATAGAATGGAGTGGGATGGGATGGGATGGGATGGAATAGAATAGAATAGAATAAGGAATAGGAGTAGAGAGTAGAGTTGAGTTGAATAAGGAATAAGAGTAGAGTTGGAATGGAATGAAATTGAATGGAATGGAATAGAATAGAATATTGGAATGAAGAATAGAATGGAGTGGGATGGGATGGGATGGAATAGAATAGAATAGAGTAGAGTAGAATAGAATAGAATAGAATAGAATAAGGAATAAGAGTAGAGTTGGAATGGAGTGGAGTGGAGTGGAGTGGAGTGGAGTGGAGTGGGATGGGATGGGATGGGATGGGATGGGATAGAATAGAATAGAGTAGAGTAGAATAGAATAGAATAGAATAGAATAAGGAATAAGAGTAGAGTTGGAATGGAGTGGAGTGGAGTGGAGTGGAGTGGAGTGGAGTGGAGTGGGATGGGATGGGAGGATGGGATGGGATGGGATGGGATGGGATGGGATAGAATAGAATAGAATAGAATAGAATAGAAATAGAATAGAATAGAATAGAATAGAATAGAATAGAATAGAATAGAATAGAATAGAATAGAATATTGGAATGAAGAATAGAATGGAGTGGGATGGGAATGGAATGGAATGGAATAGAATAGGCCTAAGACAGTGCTGTGAGAATCAGGTGTTTAGCAGAGGGATGGCATGGGGGGCGGGATGGGGGGGGGAAACAGGCTTATCAAATAAACCACCTGGGAGGTAGCGAGGGCTTCAATTTTACCTTCTTGTAGAATTTTTCCAGTAGTGGGATGGTGGAGGTTGGAGGGGAAAAGAATTCCGGCTGGAAGTCTGGCTTGACCGTCTGGATGGCCTTCAGAATCATCATGACTTCATTGTCTTCGTACGTGGAATCCTTGAAGAAGCTTTGCAAGGAGAAGCCCTCACTTTCCAGCTGCTCAATGCATCTGTTGGAGAGAGGAGAGCCTGAGCAAGTCATTCTTGACTTACAACCATCTGTTTAGTGACGGTTGGAAATTTCAAAGGCACTTTGAAAAACTGACTTATGACCGTTTTTCACACTTACGACCATTGCTGCATCTCCGTGGTCACCTGATCAGAATTCAGACACTTGGCAACTGACTCATATTTATGACGGTCGCAGTGTCCCGGGGTCACGTGATACCCTTTTGTGACCTTCTGACAAGCAAAGTCAATGGGGAAGCCACATTCACTTAACTTAACCGCTGCAGTGATTCACTTGACAACGGCGGCAAGGAAGGTCGTAAAACGGGACACAACTTCGTTAACAACTGTCTTGCTCAGCCATAGAAATTTGGGACTCAACGGTGATCGCAAGTCGAGGACGGCTTACACAGGAGGCTAAGGGCACAGATACAGATATTCCTCAAGTTACGACCACAATTGTCATTGCTAAGCAAAGGTGGTTTTGCCAAGTGACTTGTGCCCAGTTTTATGACCTTTCTCGCTATGGTTGGTAAGCGAATCAGCGCAGATGTTAAGAGAATCATGCAGTCATGAAGTGAATGTGACATCCCCCATGGATGTTGCTTGTCGAAGGTTGCAAACGGCAGTCGCATGATCTCAGGATGCTGCAACCCTCGTAAAAAACATGCCAGTTGCCAAGGATCTGAATTTTAATCATGTGACTGTAGGTATGTTGCGATGGTCGTAAGTGTAAGGACTGGTCGTTAAGTCACTGTTTTCCAATGCCATGGCTGGCTAGGGAATTCTGGGAGTTGAAGTCCACACGCCACATGCCAGGGTTGAGAAACACTGATCTAGACTAAGGAAACTCCTCGGCATAGCTTGCTAATAAGATCTCCCATCATCCTCAGCAGATGGTATTTGAAGTTAGATCAAAGCATTGGATGGATTCGTTGGCAGAATGATTGTTGTAAAGGTCAGGATCCTGCGGTTTTCTCTGTGATACTCTATGGTACCACTCTATGGTAGCAAGTTGAAGTCCGCAGTAGCAGGACGGAAAGAATTTTGACACTTTTGAACAATGATATTGTGGAGTATAACAGAGTAATAAGAGTTGGAACAAACTGTGGTGGCCCGCCAGTGGCCAGCAGAGCTGGCAGCAGATTCAAACAGTGAGGAGGTTGGGGAGGAACGTGGGCCAGTCCTGGAGTCTGGGGAAGGCTCGGATGATGGCTCTGAGTCGGAGGCAGAGAGGGGGCCAAGGCCATCTGGTAATTCTTTGCTGCCTCCGGAGTCTGACATCAGTGAGGCAATGTGAGCCTGTTCCCAGTGTGCACATGCGCAGAGCTGCCAGGACACAGGAACAATTAAGGAAACAGGGTCGACTTGGAAGTAAGGCTTGGAGATGATTGGCCCCTCCCATAAGACATCAAAGAGAAGCGAACGGGACGTGAGCTTTTGCAGGAAGCAATTAGTTCATCTGGCCCATTCAAGATTTGAAACTTCTGTTTGTGACTCTGTGCCAAGCTTGGCCTTGCCCTGCGTCTGGAAATTAGCTCTCTGGCAGCGTTTCACGTGAGATAGGTGGATGTCGATAACCTTCCTCTGAAAGACTGCTTATCAAGCCTTGCCGACTGTAAATGGAAGTAATTTACAGCCGTATAAATAAAAAGAGGTTTTGCGGGACTAAGATTGTGCTTTATACTTTCTAAGGAAGCCTAGGTCAGAAGACTTGGAAGTCTTCTAGGCCAACCCCCTGCCCAAGCAGGAGAACCTCTACCATTTCAGACAAATGGCTGTCCAATCTCTTCTCAAAAACCTCCAGTGAGGGAGCACCCACAATTTCTAGAGGCAAGGAGGTTCTTGAGAATCCCACAGACAGACAAGGAAGCAACCCAATGGACCACAGAATAAATCATTCCAAACTTCTCTCGTTCGAGGCACCCATCTCCAGGCTCAAAATTATCCTACTTGGAATGCATCATAAACTTCCATGAGAAGTTGGGAAAGATGGAAGGAAAGGGAAGAAAAAGACGAGCAGCAATAAGAGGGGTGGAGTTGATTTACAGGGGTGATCGGTTGGGATTTGATTATCCTGGAGAACATCAATTTATGTGATTGCCAAGAGTCAATATCACTTGAGGGCGCACAATTAATCAATCAATCTGTCAGGACTGCCATCCCGCTGCACCTGCATTGCTAACATAAAAGGAATCAAAACTACTTGTGCCGTCCAGAGTTGCTGGTCCAAGGTCACACCATGGAACGCAGCACCACCCAGCCCATCAAACAAGGGACTGTTACCAAAACAATTTGTTTGAATGTAATTAGATAGTTGGAGATAACCAGTGGGGATAGATGGGAAGATGTTAATCAGAGGTTTTGGGCACGAAAACTCAGATCCAGCTTTGCTACACTGAAACAATTTACCGTATTTTTCAGAGTATAAAACACATCTCCCCCCGCCCCTAAAAGGGAGTGAAAATTTAGGTGCATCTTATACACCAAATGTAGCCCTGCCCTTTGGCCTCTGGCCCCCACCCTTTGGCCTCTGCTTCCCAGCAGTTACCTCCTTGCAGCAAACAGCAAGAAAAAACAGCTCCTTTCAGCTTCAGCACATCCTAATTAGCACAAGTTGATTGGATCAGCCTCCCGACCAGTGGTGGGTTCCTCCCGGTTCAGTCCGGTTCGGCCAAGCCGGTAGTGATGACGATATGACGTCACCGAACCGGTTCTCCCCCCCCTCCCACGTTATTCTTACCTTTTATTTGGTCCCACTCCCAATCTATTGCTGCCTCCTGAGTCCCAGCTGATGACTAGAGGGAAAAAAACTGTTTAAACTCTTGCCAGAGGGCTTCAAAGGGCCGTCCTACAGCTGATCAGTGTTAAAAGCAAACAAATGAGTCGGGTTGTAAGTGCGAGGACTGGTTGTAAGTGCGAGGATCTTCCAGAAATGACTCTGACCAGCTAGACACGCCCACCTAGTCACATGGACTCCAAGCCACACCCACAAAATAAGCCACACCCACAGAACAGGTAGTAAAAAAAATTAGAACCCACCCCTGCTCCCGACTCTCAGCTGTTTTGCTCTCAGCTGTCTTATGCAGGGCTCTGCTGCTTGCTGCAAAGAGGTAAATTGCTGGAGCAGATTTTTTTTCCCCTTGTGCTAATCAAGCTATGCTGAAAACGAAAATGAAAGTAAAGCAGCCTGTTTGCTGTAATGAGGCAAAATTGCTCAGAGGCAGAGCCAGATTTATTTTTCTTCTTTTCCTCACCGAAAAAGGTAGATGCGTCTTATAGACCAGTGCGTCTTATACTCCGAAAAATACGGTAGCTCTAGTAAAGTGTACATTCACTAATAACAGATTCGAATGTCTTTCTTTTCTAGTTGAACAAGTTGGGATGGCTGACACAATCAATCAATCAATCAAATCAATCAATCAATCAATCAATGTTTGTGGTGAGTGGCTACAATATCTCCCAAGGAAGCATTTGAGATACGCTTTGGTTTCTCCACTATCACAGCTTCTCTGACCGTAGTTTAAAATAACATTCATTCCCCTCATCCCACAGTCTATGATTGATTACGCTCTATCAAGTGGTTTCAACTCCTAGCAACCACATAAATACCCTCCTTGACATTCTACGATTATCCTAAGATTAAAGGATAGAAGGTTGACCAGAGGACAGTAGCATTTCAGTTATGGGCTGGTGCAAGTGATTTATCTCGCCGAATGCTTGCAACTGTACTTTTTTGAGTACTCTAGACCGTTTATGTACGCTGATCTTTTCTAACAGGATTTAAATGCTGAGTAGTTTTTCTGCGGCATTTCAACTATGGAACGGCGTTTTCTCTTTGAGAATTGCTTCCATGGCATCTCAGTCGTTCTCTGTCAGCACTGCAGATTGTCAGGAGTTAACCTGATGCTCGCTTGGTCTGGAGACACCTCACCATTCCCCATTAGATGGTACAGGTAATCAATCAATCAGAATAGAATTGGAAGGGATCTTGCAGGTCTTCTAGTCCAATTCAAGTGGCTGTCCAATCTCTTCTTAAAAACCACCAGTGATGGAGCACCCACAACTTCTAGAGGCAAGCTGTTCCACTGGTTAATTGTTCTCACTGTTAGGAAGTTTCTCCTTAACTCCTTGATTAGTTTCCATCTATTGCTTCTTGTCTTGCCTTCTGGTGCTTTGGAAAATGACCCCCTCTTCTTTGTGGCAGCCTCTCAAATACTAGAATACCATGTCACCTCCTAGTCCTTCTTTTCTCTAGAGTGGCCATACCCAGTTCCTGCATATGTTATAGTTTCCAGGCTTTTAATCATCCTAGTTGCTCTTCTCTGCATTATATCCAAAGTCTCAACATCTTTTTTTGTAACGTGGTGACCAAAACTGAATGCAGGATTCCAGATATGGCCTTGCTAAAGTTTTATAAAGTGGTACTAATACTTTACATGATTTTGATTCTGTATCTCTTGGTTTATGCAACCAAGGATCGTATTTGGCGTTTTTGGCTGCTGCCGCACGCTGCTGGCTCATAGCCATCTGTTTAGTGATCGTTCAAAGTTGGTCGGTTCTCACACTTACAACCGTCGCAGCATCGCTACTGTCACATGTTCAAAATTCAGGCACTTGACAACCGACATGTGTTTATGATGGTTGCAGCATCCCCGAGTCCCGTGATCACCATCTGCAACCTTCTCAGCTGGCTTCTGACAGCCAAAGTCAATGGGGGAAGCTGGGTTTGCTTAATGACTGCATGATTCACTTAGCAACAGCAGCAATTTGCTGCTCTCGCCTGGACTACTGCAATGCTCTCTACATGGGGCTCCCCTTGAGGAGCACCCGGAGGCTCCAGCTGGTCCAGAATGCAGCTGCACGGGTTATTATGGGGGCGACATGGCGCTCCCATGTAACACCTCTCCTGCGCGAACTGCACTGGCTCCCGGTGGTCTTCTGGGTGCACTTCAAGGTATTGGTTCTCATCTTTAAAGCGCTCCATGGCTTAGGGCCCGGGTATTTACGAGACCACCTTCTGCCACCGATAACCTCCCACCGGCCAATCCGCTCCCACAGAGAGGGTCTCCTCAGGGTGCCGTCGGCCAAGCAATGTCGACTGACGACCCCCAGGGGGAGAGCCTTCTCTGTGGGGGCACCCGCCCTCTGGAACGAGCTATCCCCAGGAATACGACTGATCCTGGACCTCCGTACTTTCCGTCGAGCTTTGAAGACCTTCCTATTTCAGCAAGCCGGGCTGGCTTAAAATTTTAATGGGTTATTTTATGGGCAAAGGGTTTTAAATTTTGGGAAGCCAATTTGATTTAATTCTGTTTTAATTTATTTTAATTTTTATATTGCATGTATTTTAATCTTGGCTGTTCACCGCCCTGAGTCCTTCGGGAGAAGGGCGGTATACAAATTTAATAAACCTAAACCTAACCTAAACCTTAACAGTCATGCCAAAAAAGGTTGTAAAGTCGGGGATGACTCACTTAACAACTGCCTTGCTTAAGAATGGAAATTTTCATCCCAATCGTGGTCGTAACTTGAGGATGATCTGTATTCAGGGAAAGACTGCCTCCTAATTTGGTGATCTGTATCATCTTCAGAGCTACATAGCTAGAGTGCTGTTTTTTTCTTTTTATATTATTGGACTAGAAGACCTCCAATGTCCCTTCCAACTCTGTTATTCTATGTCCCTCCCACTCCCCAGCCCCAATTCAAACTGGAACAGCATCTCAAGACTGTCCTACTTCTAAGAGGAAACGTTTCTCAACTTTGACAGAGATTGAAGGTGTGTGGACTTCAACTCCCAGGATTCCCTAGCCAGCCATGCTGGCTGAGGGAACTCTGGGAGTTGAGGTACACACCTTAAAACGGGCAAGGTGAAGAAACACTATTTAAAAGCATCGCAGCTCCTTACCTTGAAATGATATGGGGTTCGGTTTTGATTCGACCCATGCAATTTAGCACAGCCATATAACAATCCTGATTCGGCTTGAGGTTATTTTCCTCCAGCATGGAAAACAGCCAGCCAATTTTCTTCAGCGCACCCTAAGCAGAGAAGGAAACAGGGATGAATTGCAACCACAGACTCAAACCGGCTAATCCTATCTACCCCCTCCCCCATCCCTTAAAAAGAACCACAACACAATCCAGAATACAAAATGGGAGTTCTGCTTCTTGAAATAAAATTGAAAACACTCAATGGCCCCATTTTATATAACACATTAAGCTCTACTGGGGATTAGCCTGTTGGGTGGACCCAGAAACATGACCCAAAAAGGTTACCCCGGAAGCATTTAGCTACAATTAACAGATTTATGGCATGGCTGGCTAGGGAATTCTGGGAGTTGAAGTCCGCAAGTCTGAAAGTTACCAAAGTTGGACCTCCCTGCTCTAAGATTATGCCTAAGCCGCCATTAGTCTTCCATGGAAATGAGGCAGAGTGCAGGAGTGGCTGCCAAGCGGAGCCTTTCTGGCAGCTGTGCCTCTAGTGCTCTGCTTTTGTTTTTCTTTTCCTTCTTAGGGTTTTCATAACAAGACCAGAAAGCAGTTTGCCTTGAAGACTTCTAAGGAGGGCAGCCTAAAAGAAGGCAACTAACACATTGGAGCTGTATAACACAGACACAGACACATGCAATTTGTGTGTCTGTGTGCATATGTCTACGGAGTTTGTCCCAAAGGTGTTTTTTTTTTTCAAGAGGCAACTGGACTCTCTGGTTTTTCTTTGAAGACATTTCGTTTCTCATTCAAGAAGCAATAAGACTTAAGACTTATATACCGCTTCACAATGCTTTTACAGCCCTCTCTAAGCAGTTTACTGAGTCAGCCTCTTGCCCCCAACAATCTGGGTCCTCATTTTACCCACCTCGGAAGGACGGAAGGCTGAGTCAACCTTGAGCCTGGTGAGATTTGAACTGCCAAATTGTAGGCAGCCAGCAGTAGCCTGTAGTACTGCACTCTAACTACTGCGCCACCTCGGCTCTTGCAAATGCTTGGCAACAGATTCGCATTTATGACGGATGCGTTGTCTCGGGGTCATGTGACCACCTTTTGCGACCCTCTGACAAGCAAACTCAATGGGGAAGCCGGATTCACTTAACAACCCTGTTACTAACTTAACTGCAATGATTCGCTTAACAACTGTGGCAAGAAAGGATGTAAAATGGAACAAACCTCACTTAACAACCGTCTCGCTTAGTAACAGAAATTTGGGGCTCAACTGCGGTCATAAGTCAAGGCCTACCTGTACATGCTGCATATTTATTTTTTATTTTTATTTATTTTTATATGCCGCCCTTCTCCGGAGACTCAGGGCGGCTTACAATGCGTTAAGCAATAGCCTTCATCCTTTTTGTATATTTATACAAAGTCAGCTTATTGCCCCCACAAACTGGGTCCTCATTTTACCCACCTTAGAAAGGATGGAAGGCTGAGTTGACCTTGAGCCTGGTGAGAATTGAACTCGCAGTAATTGCAGGCAGCTGGATGTTAAATGCTGCCTTAGGAGGAGGCATTAGCCTCCTACACCACTCAGGCTCATAAAGGCATATAATTTATGTATGCTGCCTATATATAAATGCACATAAACTTTATATTCTCCATATACATATATGTACATACACACATAATCTATATATCTCACACACACACACACAATGAATTCATACTGCATACAGGTAATCCTTGGCTTACAATCACAAGTGAGTCCAACATTTTCACTGCTAAGCAAGACAGTTATTGAGTTCTGCCCCATTTTACAATCTTCCTTCCCCCTTTGTCAAATGAATCACCGCGGCTGTTAAGTCAGCAACAAGATTATTAAGTCAATCTGGCTTCCCATTGACTTTGCTTGTTGGAAGGTCATAAAAAGGAATCACATGGCTCTGGGACCCTGCAACCGTCATAAATCCGAGCCTTTTGCCAAGCGTTCCAATTCTGACACGAGACCGTGGGGATGCTGCAATGCAAGGAGTCCTCAACTTACAACGACAACCGAGCCCAAATTTCTATTTGTTTAGCCCATCAACCTTGCTTGTCAGAAGGTTGCAAAAGGGGATCTCGTGACCCCTGGGACATGGCCACCGTCATAAATATGAACCCGCTGCCAAGCGTCTGCATTCTGATCACGTGACCGTAGGGAATGATGCAAAGGTCGCAACTTTGAACAATGGTCGTAAGTCACAATTTTCAGTGCCATTGTAACTTTGAACAGGCGCTAAATGCACTGTTGAAAGCAGTGGTGAAATCTGTGGCACGTGATTTTTTTTTTACTTTTAAAAGTATTTTTTTACAACCTATTCAGCTGAATAGGCTTTTAAAAAATGCTCTTTTTTTTTAACCTTTTAAAAGCATTTTTTTAAAGAAGCCACAAGCGGGAGACCGGGTGGGCATGGGGAGGGATTTTTGCTACCGGTTCTCCGAACCACCTGCCGTCATCACTACCAGATCGGCTGATCCGGTCCAAACCGGGAGCATTTCACCCCTGGTTGAAAGTCGAGGACTACCTGTAACCATAAGTGTGAAAAAATGGTCATCAGTCACTTTTTTCAGTGGTGTTGTAACTTTGAACGGTCATGGAGAGAACTGTTGTAAATCAAGGACTCCCTATATTTCACCATCCCAAGCAAAAAGCTACAGGTGTGATGGTAACGTCCCAGGATGACAACCCGGCTCTCCCCACTGCAACGCTCTATGACCCACACCCTCCATTCTCACTCCTCCTGGGGCAAGGGGGATGGCAGATTTTCCCCTCACCCCACCCTAAACAGGCTGGCCTTTGATTAGTTGGAATGACCTTCCCTTCCTTCCGTCAACGGTGGCCAAGCTGGCTCAAACGCAGCAAATGTTCAGCTCAGGGGATCCGGATTAAAATTCCTCCCCCAGGACAGCATACAGGAAGTCCTCAATTTACAGCCGTTCGTTTAGTGAAACAACGGCACTGAAAAAGGCGACTTATGACCGGTCCCTCAAAACTTACAACCACTGCAGCATCCCCATGATCAAAATCGGGGTGCATGTCAACTGGCATTGTACTGCATTTATGAAGATGGCGACATCCTACCGTGTTTCCCCGAAAATAAGACTCTGTCTTATATTTTTTTGAACCCCAAAATAAGCGCTTGGCTTTATTTTCAGGGAGGTCTTATTATTTTGGGGCGCGTGGAGCAAGATGGGGCTCCTCTTGCCGTCTTACCTGATTTCCAGCTCTGCGTTTAAATATTTTTGGGGAGGGCTTATTTTCAGGGGGGGAGGCTTATTTTAGCGCATGCGCTCAAAAGCCTGACTGGGCTTATTATCAGGGGATGTCTTATTTTCGGGGAAACAGGGTAGAGCAGGGATGTCAAACTGGCGGCCTGTGGGCTGGATGCGTCACACGCAGGCCACTCCCACCTCTGCAAATGGGAAAAAGGGCAAAAGGGCCTGGTGGCTCAGCAGACTGATAGCATTGTGATTGACACCAGCTGTCTGCAATTACTGTAAATTCGAATCTCACCAGGCTCAAGGTTGACTCAGCCTTCCATCCTTTCTAAGGTAGGTAAATTGAGGACCCAGATTGTGGGGGCAATAAGCTGACTTTGTATAAATATATACAAAAGTATGAAGGCTATTGCTTAACGCATAGTAAGCTGCCCTGAGTCTCCGGAGAAGGGCGGCATATAAATCAAAACATCGCAAAACGTCGTGAGACGGCAACGTGATGCCAAGCGTTTGATACCCATGACTTTGGGACATCCTGTGATCACCAACTTTCTCAGCTGGCTCCTGACAAGCTCGGTCAATGGGGGAAGCTGGATTCGCTTAACAACAGCATGATTCACTCAACAGCTGTAGTGATTCGCTTAACCACCGTGGCAAAAAAGTCATAAAATTAGGGGCGATTCCCTTAACCACCACCATGCTGAGCAACAGAAATGATAACCTTAACTGTGGCCGTATGTTGAAGATCACCTGTATGCCACAACCTCCCTGGAAGGTTTTTCTGGGTGTGTGTCAGAACTGCCATCCTTCACTCGCTATGCTTCGCTAGATGTCAGTCTGCCATAAGTCATGGGGGGGAGGGAGATATGGAGGGAAACCGACAGTGATCCTTCGGGCCGTCCCAAGACATCCCAAAGGCCTGAAAAATGGAATGCAACGCCTGCCCAATCGTTTCAGGGACAGTTACCAAACCATCATCTTCGAATGTGACTGGGGAGTGGAACAAGAGAAGGGAAACTTAACTAGGGAATATTCGCGCGCGAACTCTTAGATCCGGCTTTGCTCCCTATAACCACTTGGCTATTAGTAAAAGTTAACCTTTTCGCTACAAATGGAGTCGAGGGTGTTTCTTTCCTAACGGACCAAGTTGGGTTAAGCCTGACAGTATATATCAGTAAAAGAGCAATAATAATAATAATAATAATAATAATAAAAATACCTGCTTGGCGTAATGACACATGAGAAGACTGAACATCTGTGTAGTCAGAAACTTCTTCAGCCCCGGGGTATTGTGGAAATATAACAAACACTGTAAGGCTTTCCTCTTCTGGCCTTTGAACAGGGAAGTGTCCATGTAGGCTAAAATGGTCATCCGAATGTCATCCTGGAAGACTTTCATTTCTGGAAGCAACCTCCCGTTAAGCATCGGCACAGGCTCAGCCGAGGCCTGGACAGCAGAAGAAACGGGAGGCTCATTTCTGTCCCAGACCCGGATCCCTGTCAAGGCCATTTTGCAGTCCGATTGTGCTTCGGAGCCATCCGCTGTAGGTTGCCTGACAGATTTCGGGGAGCCTTTAACAGCTTTTTCCACCAGAGTTTTAGAAGAGAGGATGGCTTCTAAGGTTCTGGTATCCACGTCCCAACGCTTCATTTTACTGGCTTGTTTTTCCATCTTCACTTTCGCCTTCCAGGCATTCGCTTTGAGGACGTGGGCGGCTTCATCGGTTGGGACGACGGGCTTGCCCTGAGATGTTTGGGGTGCGGCAGTCTTCTGCACCTGGGCACCTGGAAAGTAACTGAATTTCTGGATCTGGCATACTTCGATCTTGGGCTTCAGGATGTCCGGTTCATTATCAGCCCGGAGTTGCTTCACTCTAGCTTTCAATACTGGGGGGTGGGAGGAAACAGAACACAATGTATGATCTCTAATGGTGTAGGCCATGGGTCTGCAACCTTAAATACTCAAAGAGCCATTTGGACCCGTTTCCCACAGAAAAGAAAACACCGGGAGCCACAAAACCTGGGTGGGCGTGGCCAACTCGATGTCACTCACTTCCACCAGTCACATGACTCCCCCTAGCCACGCCTACCCAGCTGGTCATTAGGGTAGAGAACCAGTTGTTAAAAAACACCGGGAACCACAAAATCCTTTTGACATCTCTCTCTCTCTCCCCTCCCTCCCTCTCTGCCCCCCTCTCTCCCTCTCTCTCTGTATCTCCCTGTCTTTGCCCTGGCCGCTTCTCCATCCCACACTGTCGCCCTTACCTTCTCAGGCGAGGAGTGACTGGGAGGGGAGGGCAAGGGGTGGGGCCAGCCAGTGGTGGGATCACCTGACAGGGAGCCACAGCAGAGGGCCCAAAGAGCCGTCTGTGGCTCCGGAGCCGCAGGTTGCTGACCCCTGGTGTAGACTAAACAGAAACAGGGATATAAATGTGTCAGTGATATAAAGCAGGGGTGCTAGGGAACCATGGCCCTTTTATGACTTGTGGACTTCAACTCCCAGAATTCCTGAGCCACCTGGTTCCTATTTATGATGGTTACAGTGTTCCCAAGGTCATGTGATCCCCTTTTGCGACCTTCCGACAAGCAAAGTCAACGGGGAAGCCAGATTCACTTAACAACCATGTTACTAACTTCACAATTGCACTGATTCACTTAACAACGGTGGCAAGATACAAATGCAAACTGTATTTGAGAGTACCTGAATCAAGAAAAAATTAAAGAAAATGATGTATCAGTTTAAAGAAAAACTCTGTATGTTAAAAAGAATGTTTATAAAAGAAAAAATAATTATTATTCTATTAGGGTAGTTTGAAGGGCTGAAGTTTGACTATGTTAAAGTCAAAGAATAAGTTGTATTAGAAAGATTTTTTTAAAAAAAGCGCTTTAAAAAAAAGTTTAGCACTTTGAAGGAAAGAGGAGGGTGAAAGAAAAAAAAGCCCCTATCTTTTTTTTTCAATAAGGCCAAAGAATTTGAAAGAATATAATAAATTTTATAAATAAAAATGGTGACAGTTCCCAAAGATTGCTAGGTGCAAATAGAAATGCACAATATTTCCGTAGCAAGGAAGATAAAGCAGGAATGGTTAAACTGATTATTTTACTTAAAGAGGAAAACATCTTCTTATTTGGACATCACTTCTGGAATTTGTGCTTGTGAAGAAAAAAAATAAAACTCTGATCTTGATTTTGTTGATTAGAAAGATTTGGTGCTATAGAAATGGCTAGTTATGTATTGATAGATAGAAGCAAAAGGTTGAGGCTGCAGTGTGTTTATTTTGCACTGTGCTAGGAAGAGTTTATTTATTTATTTATTTATTTATTTATTTATTTATTTATTTATTTATTTATTTAATTTGTATACCGCCCTTCTCCAACAGGACTCAGGGCGGTGAACAGCCACGGTAAAAACACAACATATAAAATTTAAAAACAATTTAAAAAACATTAAATAATTTTGGAAGTCAATGCCCCCTTTTCTTTCTTTTTCTTTTCCCCCTTGTATTTCACACCCCCTTTTCTCTGCAACCCAACAAGACAGACACAGACTTCAGAGGATAATTAGAACTGCAGAAAAAGCAATGGCTACCAACCTGCCTTCCATGGAGGACCTGTATACTGCACAAGTCAAAAAGAGGGCTGGGAAAATATTTACGGACCCTTCGCATCCTGGACATAAACTCTTTCAACTCCTACCCTCAAAACAACACTATAGAGCACTGCACACCAGAACAACTAGACACAAGAACAGTTTTTTCCCAAACGCCATCACTCTGCTAAACAAATAATTCCCTCAACACTGTCAAACTATTCACTAAGTCTGCATTACTATTAATCTTCTCGTCGTTCCTATCACCCATCTCCTCTCACTTATGACTGTAATTTTGTTGCTTGTATCCTTACGATTTATATTGATTGTTTCCTAGTATGATTCGATTGATTATTTGTACCCTATGACTATCATTAAGTGTTGTACCTTATGATTCTTGATGAACGTATTGTTTCTTTTATGTACACCGAGAGCATATGCAGCAAAGACAAATTCCTTGTGTGTCCAATCACACTTGGCCAATAAAATTCTATTCCATTCCACTCCACTCCACTCCATTCCATTCTATTCCCCATTCCCTTTCCCTCCCTTCATTTCCTATTTTATTTTATTTTGCATTTTATATAATGAAATAAAAAATGCTAAATGCTAAAAAAAACAACTGTAGCAAGGAAAGTTGTAAAATGGGGCAAAACGCACCTAGCAACTGTCTCGTTAGCAACAGACATGTTGGGGCTCAATTGTGGCCGTAAGTTGAGGACTACCTGCATTCCTTTTAAGATACTCAAGAGTTACTCCCAATGCAAGCGTACAAATCACTGCAATCGATATATCAAACATGTAGACATCCAGGTCTGAATACGAACCGGGCATAAATATCTGCACACACGTTTATTTTTATCCTGATTTGTTGGCTTACCTTCCAACAGCTCCACCTGCTCATGTAACCATAGTTTCCTGCTTTCTTCTTTCACCCTGGTTGAATAACATCTCATCCCAACACGGAGGCTCCCTGAAAATGAGAGAAGGCTGATCGTTATGGGAATTGGTTCCCAAGTGCCATCATTTCTTACCTCTTGACTTCCCAGGCAGTGGAGCCTAGGAGCAAAGCAGTTACCTGAGAGAAGCAGGGATCCTCCAGTTGTAAAACACCCTCCACAACCTAATGAGTCGCCATGGGCGAATAGTAAAGGTAAAGGTTCCCCACACACATATGTGCTAGTCGTTCCTGACTCTAAGGGGTGGTGATCATCTCCGTTTCAAAGCCGAAGAGCCAGCGCTGTCCGAAGACGTCTCTGTGGTCATGTGGCCGGCATGACTCAACGCCAAAGGCGCACGGAACGCTGTTCCCTTCCCACCAAAGGTGGCCCCTATTTTTTCTACTTGCATTTTTTAACGTGCTTTCGAACGGCTAGGTTGGCATAAGCTAGGACAAGTAACGGGAACTCACCCCGTTATGCGGCACTAGGGATTCAAACCGCTAAACTGCCAACCTTTCGATCAACAAACTCAGCGTCTAATAGGCGGCAATATAAATTCAAGAAATAAGTAAATAAATAAATGAATTCCACTGGTGCCTATGCAATGGTCTATCGCTGATATCATTTGTTTTATTTTCCAAAGCATTTGAGAAACTCTTATCAGTGTTTCAAAAAACCCAAAGGTTTGTTATTGCTTTACTGTGATTGGATTTCCTTCCTTCCTTTCTCGTCTCTTCCCTTCTTCTCTTTCTTCTCCCCTTCCTTCCTCTCTCCTTTTCTCCTCTTCCTCTTTCTCCCTTCTTCCTCTCTCATCACTTCCTGTCTCCCTTCCTTCCTTCCTCCCATCCTTCCTCTCTCTCCCCATATAATTTCAGAAGATACAGTATTGGTACAGTAAGTATTGCTGCTCGATGTTTTTATTTATCCATTATTCTAGCTTCAGTGTGGATTTTTATATTGTTTGCATCAGTGGTTCTCAACCTTTTTCTTCACCACGGACCCCCCTTTTTGCGGCCACAGACCATGGCCACAGACCACCAAGATTTAAATCATAACATTTCAAGGCTTGGTAAACCCTGTGATGACATCGTGTGACCCCCCTCAGGGCACCCCGGACCAGAGGTTGAGAAGCACTGGTTTACATAATTTTGGGTTTTGTAAGGCCTTTACTATCTATTACCCTGAGAACCTCTGTTTCTGGATGTTACAGATGTGCAATCAACCCATTTGTTCCATCTGCACGTTTCAGGTTAGTAGGGAAGGGAAGTATATAAACTTGACAAAGCAAGTAATGGAAAAGGAGTAACATGGGCTCTTCTGAACTACAAAGAAACAATTTCATATCTGGCAAAACTGTTTATTTATTGGGCTCAAGACTGTTTAATCTGGTTGGGGTTGCCACTCTGAAAATTGAAGAGGTTCTTAATACGTAAGACAGAAAATCAAGGATGAGCACTTTTGTCCATTACCTCATCCTTTCCCCAACCTTTAGAGCAGGGGTCAGCAACCTGCAGCTCTGGAGCCGCATGTGGCTCTTTCACCCTTCTGCTGCGGCTCCCTGTCACTCAAAATATGCGTCACAACCACCAATGCGCTGGCATGCGATTTATTAAGTAGGCCAACCATGGATGCGCTGGCATGCGATTTATTAAGTAGGCCAACCATGGATAAATCCCAGAAACGTTAAGTTTCAGAAGAAAACTGAATGTTTAATTTAACTACATATGCTAGTTTTGTGGCTCCTGGTGTTTTTTTTTTCTGTGGGAAACAGGTCCAAATGGCTCTTTTGAGTGTTTAAGATTGCAGACCCCTGCTTTAGAGGGATGGGGGATAAATTCCTTCCTATTTCATTAAGAAGGTGAAACATCTTCTTAATGGCCATATTCATATCTGCTTTTCTAGATGATGAAATATCTCATCCAATATGCAACCCAAATCCCAAGAGAAATCCAAACCAAATTTAGGATACTCTACAAACGTAGCTGTTGCAGCTTTCACTGACCAGGTTATATCTAAAACAACAATATAATACACCAATTAAAATAAAATAAAAAGTTAAGTTTGTTCATCTATTTATTTTTATGAAATTTATATGCTAGTACTAATGTTAGGGGCAGAAATACAGGGCCTTATACCTTTCCTCATTAGAGAAGGCAATGGATTTCATTGGGAATTATGCGAAACAAATATAGGTAGTCCTCGACTTACAAAGCATTCCTTTAGTGACCGTTTGAAATTACAACAGCATTGAAAAAACTGACTTATGACCGTTTTTCACACTTAATGACCATTGCAGCATCCCCATGGTCACAAGATCAACATTCGGACCGTTGGCAACTGGCATGTATTTATGACAGATGCAGTGTCCCGGGGTTATTTGATCATCTTTTGCGACCTTTTGACAAGTAAATTCAATGTGGAAGTCAGATTCACTTAACAACCATGTTACTACCCTTAACAATCGCAGCGATTCAGTTATCAACTATGGCAATAAGGTCGCACAATGGGGAAAAACTCACTTAACGACGGTGCTGCAAAGCAATTTTAGCCTCAATTGTGGTCGCAAGTCAAGGACTACCTGCAACTAGGGAGATCAAATAACAGGCAAGATCTCCCTTGAGCCTCTTGATCCCTTCATCTTGCATGCGGGCAGGTTTCTCAGCATCAACACAGGCGCGTGTGGCTGAATCCCGAGGCATCAAATTCAACTTCCTCTTTTGCAAGGCAGCCTTCGTGGCTCTCCTGGTGGTCTCCCGTTCACGCACCAAACCAAGCCAACCCAATCGGCCAAAAGCTGTCAATCAACGAGGCCAGGGAAGGTATCCAAATTTGAAGGTGGGCATAGATGTGACCCTATTACTCCCTCTCCCCCCCCCCAAGAGGGGAAAGGGTGGCGAGTTCAAATCCATCCACCTCCAGTAGGGCAAAGTGCCCTACTTTCCCCCTCCCCCCCAATTCGATACTTCCCACCCACCCCCGCCCCACAGGCACCAACACTGACCTTTGCCCCACCGCAGCGGCCCTTGCAGGTTCAGCATCGGTTCCACCCCGGTGCCCTCTACATTTTACCGCCTGCCCGGGAGAGCACGCATGGTTATCCACCCCTTTACTGCGCAGGCGCGGCGCTCTGCACAGGCGAGGAGGACTCGTCTCTGTGGTTCTCTCGCTACCCAATGGGGCCTCCGCTCGAGTGGCCGGGATAGGATTGGAAACGACCAATCCTTGGAGGCATGGCGAGGACCTAGAGATACGAAAAAAAGAAGAGAGGGCTGTTGCCTCGGCCATCCATCGCGAGGTTCAAATCCAGCTTTTTTTTTTCTCCTTTTCGTTTGTAAGCAGCTCAGAGACTTTGACGGAGAATAAGGGGGTCATATGAATCATAGGCAGTTTTTTAAAAAATCACTACAAATCATAATTAATTTAATACCATTAAATGGTGGGATTTTATAGAAGTTTTTATTTTTATAGGGTTTGGAAAGTCTAAATAAATTGGTAGCGATTTAATCAGATTAAATTAAATTAATGTAAATATACATTAAATTAATTTAAATATAAATTAAATATAAATTAAATTTATACAGCTGTGAGTCTGACAGCTATTATTTATTTATTAAATTTATATGCTGTTCATCTCGCTATCAAGTACTCTAGTAGGCAGCTTAGCAGATAAAAAAAGAGAATGGAAATCATTACATTAAAATGACAAATATTAACATTAAAATATAAAAGCAATACAAAGTCAACCACAAAAATTGGAAAGAAACTTTAAAAAGCAGATAGGAGTCTTCCCTTTAAGAAGTTCAACCACTTCCCCTTAAAATATTATTTTATTCATTTGTATTCCATCCTTATTATTTTTACAAATAATTCAAGGGGGCAAACATATCAACACACCTTCCTTTCCTCCTCACTACAACAACAGCCCTGTGAGGTGGCTTGGCTGAGAGAGGACTGACCCAAAATCACCCAGCCAGCTTTCATGCATAAGGCAGCATGAATTCAAACGCTCTGACTTTCCAGACTGGTGCCTTAAATACCTGAACAAACTGGCTGCCAATTATCCTGATTATCCTCCCAATCCTATACAGGTAGTCCTCAATTTACGACCACAATTGAGCCCAACATTTATGTTGCTGTTAGAAGAAATATCCTTCTGAGTTCAGCTCCAAGTGGGGAAAAAGACACTGGAAACATGGAGACTGCTTGGAAAGATGGTTTAATGGTGGACAGGATCACATGGTTTGAGTTCCTGAACAGAAAAGGGTGAGATGCAGCGAGTCCCCGGGTTTTATGCCCTCTCTGGCTTTGAACTTCCTGGGGCCCCGAAAGAGTATCTTGATTGGTTGTCAGACTCCCAGGGGTTGGGGGTCTTAGCTAGCTTTGCCGGCTGATGTAATCTTCCCAGGTGCCATGTGGTGAGTTTCTGTTGCTAGAAGGGTTCTATTGTGTTAGTTTCTGTTGCTAGATGGGTCCTATTGTGTTGCAGATGATGGTCCATTGACAAAGATGGGAGGGAATTGAGTTTCTGCCTCTGGCCCATTGACAAAGGTGTGGGGGGGAAGAAGGTGGGAGCTGCTTGGTCTTAAACATGCTTCTCCATTTCTCATCCAGGGAAACATAATATTCTGCCTTTTTAATATTTCCTAAAATATTTCATTCTTCTAGGAAAGGGGTGGGTGCTAACTTCTTACATTGCTAAGTGAAAAATTTGTTAAGTGAGTTTTGCCCCTTTTTACGACTTTTCTTGCCACATTTGTTAAGTGAATCACTGCAGTTGTTAAATTAGTAACATGGTTATTAAGTGAATCTAGCTTCCCCATTGACTTTGCTTGTCAGAAGATTGCAAAAGGGGATCACGTGATCCTAGGACACTGCAGCCGCCATAAATGTGAGTCAGTTGTCAAGCATCTGAATGTGAATCATATGACCATGGGGATGCTGCAACAGTCATAAGTGTGAAAAATGGTCATAACTCACTTTTTTCAGTATCGTCGTAACTTTGAATCATCACTAAATGAACAGTTGTAAGTCGAGGACTACCTGTATACAGTATTAGCACCATGGAAGAAAAAAAAGGGAATCTTATATGTATCTTTTTCCTCCTCTTTGGATGTGGATTTGGTTCTATATTCAATTTTAATTCTGTATTTCCATTTCTGTTCATCTTATGTGGAATGCTGTTCCTAAAGAAATACGTTGTTTAACTAATAGGCTCATTAAGTAGCCTTTGAACCTTTTTACTTTCAGTTTAAAATATCCTTGGCCAATTGACCACCTCCAGAAGAAAGGCTAGGGTAGTACTGCCTATGAACTTAATCTTACTTTGGCCATGGTGGCGCAGTGTTTAGACTGCAGTATTGCAGGCTAACTCTGCCCACAGCCAGCAGTTCAATCCTCATCAGCTCAAGGTTTACTCAGCTTTCCATCTTCCCGAGGTCAGTAAAATGAAGACCCAGATTGTTGGGGGCAATATGCTGACTCTGAAAACCGCTTAGAGGGAGCTGTAAAGTACTGTGGAAAGTCAGCACCCACCCACCCACCCACCTAGAAAATTAAATATTTCGGGGAATATTAAAAAGGCAGGATAGAATATTTCTAAAGAGAAATGGGGGAAAAAAATTTCTAAAGGGAAATGAGGGGGAGGGAATTAAGGGAGGCAGATACCAGCACCGGTCTCTCTGCCCCAAGCAGAAACTGAGGAGGCCACCTTTTAGAAATGCAGATTTGGTAATCTATTTAGAAAGACTGGATCAGACAGAAACTCCAGATAAGCAACACAATTAGGCAAGACAAAATTAGCTCAGACAAACACCTAGGATTTGCATTTCCCCTTTTGCCTGTAGAGCCAGCCATGATCTCTACATGACTCCATAGGAATCCAGAAGGCATAACACCCAGCCACTCTCAACTCCATTTTGTCATCTGTCCCAGAATCACATGGTTCTGTTTGTTGGTGGTTCTGTTCATCAATAAACCAACTTTCTTTCCAATCAGCCTCCATTTTATTCCTGGCTTGAACCAGGAATTTTTCTTCCTACAGTACTATGGCAAGGTATATAATATAAGTGTATGGAAGTCTAAGTGCTATTGCTATTTTGTTCTAATAAGACTGCTAATTGAATGACTTTGGGCAATTTTGGTAATTAACAAGGATGATGTATACAAGTACAATTAATTAAGAGTATAGAAGCCACTAAGTCATGCTCAGATAATAGACTGAACTTCTGGGAAGGTACTACACACACCTTGGCTCCAGGTGTTAATTTTGTTGTTGTAGGAAGTTAGCACCCACCCCTTTCCTGGAAGAGTTAAATATTTTAGGAAATATGAAAAAGTCAGAATATTATATTTCCTTGGATGAGAAATGGAGAAGCATATCTTACAGACAAAGCAGCTTCCACCTTCCCACCCTTTGTCAATGGGCCATTAAGGCCTGGGCCAGTCTATTCTACATAACAAAGATCTGCCTCCTTCAGGCAGAGCCATAGTAGGAATTGCCAAAGATCCAACAAAGATAGGATTAGCCCTCTACACAATAGTAGCAGAAACTCACCACATGTGACCTGGGAAGCACATGTGACCATCAGCCAGCAAGGCTAGCTAAGACCCCCACCCCCTGGGAGTCTGACAACCAATCAGGATACTCTTTCGGGGCCCCAAGAAATGCAGAGCCAGAGAGAGCATAAAAACCCGAGGATTTATTGTATCTGCCCCCTTTTCTGTTCAGGAACTCAAACCATGTGATCTGTCCACCATTAAACCATCTTTCCAAGCAGTCTCCATGTTTCCAGTGTCAGTTTCCCCATTTGGAGCGGAACCCAGAAGGATATTTCTTCCAACATTGTCACATCTAAACATTTTTGACCAGCATATAAAGCCGTGATGGTGAAGAGGTGGCACGCAGAGCCCTTTCTGTGGGCACACGCGTTGTCATCAGCTGCTCTTCTGGTTTCCAGCCAACTGGTCTTCGTGGGCACCAGAACACAGGAAAATGGCCCAAAAAAAGCCAAAATCCAGGCTGTTTTCCAGATCATTTTCTGGGCTGCTTTCAGCCCGAAAAACAGCCTGAAAACGGCCTGAAAAACAGCCCAAAAAAGGGCCTGAAAATGGCCTGAAAAAGGCCAAAAAACCAGGCAGTTTTCCAGATTATTTTCCAGGCTGCTTTTGGCCTGAAAAACAGCCCAAAAAAGGGCCTGAGAATGGCCTGAAAAAGGCCAAAAAACAGGTTGTTTTCCAGATCCTTTTCCAGGCTGCTTTTGGCCTGAAAAATGGCCTGAAAATGGCCCAAAAAAGAGCCTGAAAATGGTCCGAAAAAGGCCAAAAAACCTAGGCTGTTTTCCAGATCATATTCTGGGCTGCTTTTAGCCCGAAAAATGGCCTGAAAAACAGTCTGAAAAAGGGCCTGAAAACGGCCCGAAAAAGGCCAAAAAACAGGTAGTTTTCCTGGCCATTTCCTGGCTAAAAACGACCAAAAAAACAGGCCAGCTGGTCTTGGGGTTTCTGGCACTCCAGCGTGTGTACAGTTTGGGCACTCAGGTGCCAAAAAGGTTTGCCATCACTGAGATAGGGCGTAAAAATAGCCACTTCCCTTATTTTATGGTTTTCCAATCCTCAACAAACCTCTCTAGCACTTGCTCTACCTCTCTGTTCGTTCATTACCTCTGATTATTACGTTCTTGGAAATTTTTGCTGCTTTAGCAAATGGCAAAGGGGGAACCCAGAGTGGGATGGAGCCCATTAAATGGCTCATGTGATCGGCTGTCGCTGGGGCGGGAGGTGGAGTGTGTGTGATTTTATTACATGAATTTATTTGATTTTTTTATTAGTTTTACTGTTTTTAAATGTGGTTTTTACATTTTGTAAGCCGCCTTGAGTCGCCATGGGCGAATAGGCAGCAATATATATTTAATAAATAATAATCTTCCGCCTTCTTGCCTCTGCAAGTACCTTTTGGGATAATTTTTTGATATATAATTAAGCCTATCACATTTTGAATGAAAAAAAAGTGCTGGGTCGAGAGAGAGAGAGAGAGAGAGAGAGAGAGAGAGAGAGAGAGAGAGAGTTCTACTGCCATCTAGTGGATGAGCGCATTTTGGCAGCCACCAGACGGCTTAAACTAAACGTGCTCGCGCTGCCTAACGGCTGGACCAAAGCAGTTGGGATGCAGTTCTTTCGGATTAGCTCGCTGAGCTGCCAATCACGGCAGGCCTCAGCCAATTGACGACCGTGTTCGAAGAAGCCAGAGAAGGAGGGCGGCACCAGCCCCTCTGTTGCGGCACGCAACCCCGCCCTCCAGCCTCCTCCCATTGGTCAAAAGGCTTTAGAGAGGCGTTCTCGACCGGTGGGGCTGGGCGCGGCCAACGAGGAGGAGCCATCTTGTGATTGGCTCTGGCGGGGAGGCGGAGGGGTGTGAAGGTCAGATTAAAGGAGGAGCGGAGAGACCTGCAGATGAGATGAGTTTGCGGCGTTTCGCTTGTAAGACGCTCCTTTGTGGGTTCTTGGTAGGGCGCGGCCTCACAAGAGTGATGGTAAGTTGCCAGCGGGTGTGGGTCTCCCGTCGAGGACGCTCTAGTCATTGGCGGTGTTCTCTATGGTCGGATCATAGAGCGGTCGCCCTGAAGGGGGCTACCTTGGGTTTCCTTGGAGGACCCATATAATCTCCTTTTTTTAGAGCCCCTGGGAGGACTTTCCCTCTAATCCCTTTGAGGCTTTTAGAACTTCTCTTCCAATGAACGTAATTTCCCCCAAAATATTAGGGTAGGACGAGGCTGGAGGCCAGTAAAATGGCATATGGATGGAGGGGAAAGTATTGCCCTAGGCTAGGGAAATACGAATTTTTATTGATTTTTGTTAACAATGGTATGGCTTTGGGGGATTGTTTTTATTGTTTTGGGAGTGCCTGGGGTGATTTAATGCAGCAAAGGTCTTCTTTGCAGGTGACTTAAACCTTAATTCCCAAGAACTATTTGAATATAGGGCAGAAACCATGTTTTTTTTCCCCCTATAATACTTTGGGTGGGCAGATAGTCCTCGATGTATGACCGCAATTGAGGCCAACATTTCTCTTAAGTGAGACCCTTGTTAAATGAGTGTTGCCCCATTTTACGACCTTTGGTGCCCCAGTTAAGTGAATTACTGCTGTTGATAAGTGAGTCACACGGTGGTTAAGTGAATCCGGCTTCCCCATTGATTTTGCTTGTCAAAAGCTTGCAAAGGGGGATTGCGTGACCTTGGGGACCCAGCAATGGTCATAAGTGTGAAGCAATTGCCAAGCATCTTGAATTTTGATCACATCATCATGGGGCTGCTAGAAAGCTCGTAGGTGTGAAAAATGCTCCTAGGTCATTTTTTTCAGTGTTGTAACTTTGAATGGTCACTAAATGAACTGCTGTAAGGTGAGGATTTACCTGTATTTGGGCTTTAGGGTTACTGCTTTTCTAGAGCTGCTTGCCTGCCCCAACTGGGGTAAAGTAATGCTTTTAGGATATAAATTTCATTATACTATAAAAGGATCATGAAACGGAAAGCTACTCCTTCCCAGAGCAGGTGGTTGTAATTTTAAATGGATGTCTTCAGATGCCTTTCAGAGATAAAATTATACTCTTAATTGTTTATCTTAAAACAGTGATCTGGGGTTATTGGAGCTCCCTAGAGAACGGTTCTTAGATGAAAAAACAGCTGCAGCTGAGTGGCTGCATTGAGCCCTTGGGGGTAGAATAAAGTAAAATACATCTGTGCAAAATGCATTTAAATATGTTTGGGCAAGTTGGTTTTTAAAATTTTAGTTAGGGATAAGGGCCAAAACGACGGAATCTACTGAGCCTCTGCTCAGAGTCAGTGTCCCATAACAGACTCTCTTTCATGCCTCATATTTATTAAACAATCTATCAACTGTGCAAGTCATCCAAGCAATTCTAGGAGAAGTCCCTGAGTTAGTGGGCGGCCATAGAAATACTCTTAAATAAAAATAAAATACCACAAATTAAAACGGAATATGCCAAAGGTGTTTTTCCAAAAGACAACAGGACTTGAGGTTTTTTGTTTTTTTTTCCTTTGAAAACGTTTTGTTTCTCATTCAAGAAGTTGTAAAGAAACTTCTTGGACGAGAAGGGAAACATTTTCAATGGGGAAAAACCCCAAGAAAGTCCAGTTGCCTTTTGGATCAACTATAATCTGAATGATGGAGAATCTCCGCAGATGATTAAAACAGAAGTAACAAAAACGCAGAGAACTAGATTTGTAAATCCTCATTGCTTTGCCCCCTAAGCCTAGTTAGATAAATCAGGACTTCACAACTCTTCTGAAGCCTACGATGATCCTACAGATACTCTTCCAGTAGGATTGAAGTGCCTACTGTTTAAAGAGCCTGCCTACTTCACAACTTTGTCCCTTTGTAATCTAGAAAAATCTTTTGAAAAGCTTTGTGTCTTCTCCTATGACAGCCTGATTCTGTAGACCAAACTGTTTCTTTACTAATAATGAATTTTACACCCCAAAAGGAGAGCTTCTGAATTTGGAAGTGCAGTCTGAGCTAGGTATCCTATTGTGCCTATACATATGCTATATATGCTTACAAGTTGATAAGAATCTGTTTTGAAACTTCCCTGAGCTGCTGACTTCCAGGTGAAAGCAATTAAGTGTTGCGTTCAGTAGTTAAAAGCAAGCCACTGTTACTCAAGGCTGCCTTTTGTGAAAACTTACACTCAATGGGGAAAAAAATATCTGCACCTCAGGGTTGAACTGTGGGGTCCTTGGTGCTCTCTGAGCTTGGTGATTTCCTTGCAGACATTTAATTACCCAACTAGGTAACAACATCAGTGCTAGTAGGGAGAGGGGTTTGCTCCCAATTTATATTCTAGCGGCTTGCCCTGTCAGTATTTATTAGTTACCCAACTAGTTAACAGCATTCATGCAAGTGAGAGTGGGGGATTTGTTCCCTGTTTATATATAGTAGTCTGCCCATATTGGTGGGGGTGAGTTTCTCCTTGGTTGTCCCTTGGTTAGAGAAAGTAAACAAGTTAAATTGCCTTTCTATAGCATTCAAGAGATCCTAATAAAAACCCTGAGAAGAAAAAGACCAGAGAACAAAAAGTCAATACCCAGATAAGCAGGGTTTAACACCAAACAAACAATCAAGTAGAAAGCAATAGCTTAATCAGCCAAGCTCAGAGAGCACCAAGGATTCCACTTAACACAATTAAGTTGTTGCTTTGCTCCACCTTAAGTAAACATTAGAACTACACAAAAGCAGCTCTTTGAGTCAGGATTATATCCTCCCCCTATATGCCATGGACTGGGAAAAGATTGTGTGGTTCTGCCAGAAGATGCCATGTAGGCCAAATGCTGAAGAGTTTGCAGCCTCAGTACATTTAGGGATGGGGGGGTTGGTTGGAGAAGGGAAAAGGTCAGCAGTATTCCTGCCAAGATTAAAGCAAGACATTTTCAGGAATATTTCTAGCTTTCCTTTTGATGTTAACATGAAGCTCTGAGTTAATTTATAAACATTAAACATAATTGGGATTTCAGGTTTACACTCAGATGCAGCAAATTAATTTTTTTTTCATATTCTGACCCTCCCAACTGTGGAAAATCCCAGCATTTCCAAATATGACAAATTAAGAGCCATTTGACCATTAATGACTAATAGCTGTAATTATGTATTTTTTAAAAAATTGCTTCATATTACAGCTTGTAGAAGTGAGTGCAGGTAGCCTTCAACTTACAACCATTTGTTTAGTGACTGTTTCAAGATACAACTGCCCAGAAAACGGAGATTTGTGATCATTTTTCACAGGGCCATTGCAGCATCCCAGAGTCGCATGATCAAAATTAGGGTGCTAGGCAACTGGGATGTATTTATTTGCAGTGTCCCAGAGTCGTGTGATCCTCCTTTGCCACCTTCTGACAAGCAATGTGACTGGGGAAACCAGATTAATTTAACAACCGTGTGACTCACTTAATAACTGCTGGGATTCACTGCACAACTATGGCAAGGAAGGTTGTAAAATGGGGCAAAATTCACTTAACTCTCTCACTTAGCAACAGAAATGTTGGGTTCTATCCTGTTCCCCCCAAAATAAGACATCCCCTGATAATAAGCCCAATCGGGCCTTTGAGTGTGTGGCAATAAGGCCAAGCGCTTATTTCAGGGTTCAAAAAAATATAAGACAGGGTCTTATGTTCAGGGAAACACGGTATTGTATCATAAGTTTTTTTTTGCAATTTTTTTTTTTTCAAACACACAAATTACATCTTTTTGGAACAGAGCTTTGATCCGGTCATCAATTTGTACAATTTTTTGTCATCTTTAACACAATTTTATCTATTCTATTTTGCCATAACACTTATCTCTTAATCTTAAATCACCTATCTCAATTAATACCATCTTTAAAAAAAAGTTCTCAAATTTACTTAATTAAAACAATTACCCTTCTATTAACCCACCTTAAATCCTAATTCAATTAATACCTCATAATACATTTCACAGTTCTTACCCTAAATCCTCACTATTAATAATACAGTAAAGACATGCTTATATTTCAAAATTATTTCCATTTCTAAAACTTCCTTACATTTATTACTTTATGTAATGCTCATTAAATCTTTATTCCATTATTACTTTATCAAATTTAAATCTTATCTCTTGTCTAAAAAATATGCAATTTAACATTTAATCATAGTTCTTAATTCAAATAGGAGCCTGGATAGCTCAGCAGACTAATGCATTGTAATTTAACTCCAGCTGTCTGCAATTAGTAAGTTCGAATCTTGCCAGGCTCAAGGTTGACTCAGCCTTCCATCCTTTCTAAGATAGGTAAATTGAGGACCCAGTTTGTGGGGGCAATAAGCTGACTTTGTAAAAAATATACAAAAGTATGGAGGCTATTGCTTAACGCATTGTAAGCCGCCCTGAGTCTCTGGAGAAGGGCTGCATATAAATCAAATTTAAAAAAAAAGTGCTATTTAATACAATTTCCTAATTATTTCCCTAAAATTCTATCTATTTAACCATACCATTCATATAAACACCAATCAAGTAATTTTTGTAAATCATAATCATGTATTGTTTCAATTGCTTAAGTAAAAAATGTTCAAGTTGTTACAATTATTATGAACATTTAAATAGGCATTGTATCATAAATTGAGGACTACCTGCACTGCAAGCTAACTGAGTACAGTGTCTGGCCCTGCTGCTTCTCTTGGTCCTAAGAACATAAAAGCTTTTCTGAGCTGTTCTTATTGTTTAAAGCTTCCAAGCACTTCTGAATCTGTTTCCACAAAAAAACAAAAATTCTAGCAAAACTGGTTTTGTTTTAAACTCCAGGAAAAATAAAGCAACTTCTGGATGAGGAATACATGGGTATACTCATTCTCCCCCCCCTCTCTTTTGGGTGCAGTATATATTGATTTTCTTCTGGGTGAAGGCGAAAAGCTGGTTTTGACGAAAGGTTGAATGTGGGAAAGCAACTTCATCTTCTCCCTTGCTCTTTGCCTGCAATGCAGAAATGCAATTCAAAAAAAAAATAAA